GTTGGCATTAGTTTTCGGTTGTGCAATCAGTTTATTAGAGCCTTGTAATTTTTGAGTTAAATAATCCTGGTTGGGTTCTTGGGTTGTAGTAGATCTGGGTTTAAGGTTTAAAAATGTTTGGATTTTATATATATTTTCTATATAGGTTCGCGTAATATGGTTATATGTTCTTTTGTCATGGTGTAGGCTATCTGCGTATGTAGAAGTCTGTGGTTCTATAGTAAATGTGATTTTTGGTGTTAGCCTCGGGGTAAATGGTTTTTCGAATAACTGGTTTAAGTTTGAGTTCTTATGTTTTTCACTAACTCGTTGGCTTGTACCTGCAGCTGTATTTAAACAAATGTTATGGGTTTTTAGGTGTTTCCCAACGTCACCTTTTAGCTCTGTATTTTTTCTGTCTTCCGATCGACATAGCTTCGCATTTTTATAGTAATGCTGCTGACTTATATTGGCTTTAGACTTCTGATTATCTTCATTAGTCTTTAGCTTTTGTATCTTGTTGTCCATACTATCCACTTTTGTACAAAGTGTAGTAATGGCTTTGAGTATCTTTTCAATTGTATCTTCTTTCTGAGTCTCAGTCTGAGTAGCTTTGTTGTGATAGGTAATCTGCAATAACATTCTTAGCAGTTTTTATTATTTCAATTGTGAATGTAAAATTTAATATATTTAATACCAATCTCCTTATTTCTTTTGTTGTTACCGAATCTTGTATTTTTCTTGTTAGCCACCATTTTACTTGTGTATTATCTGTTCTTATAATAAATTCGTTATATAAAATATATGGTTCAAATGATAATAAACATTTATATACCGAATATAATTCTTTCCTATTTATTTCTCATCTTATTTCTGCATTAGTAAATGTTCCTGAATAATATCTACAATGATGTTCTATTTTTTCTTCTCAATACCTGTATTTTAATACTCCCCCATAACTTTTTTCACTGACATCTGATTCTACTATATAAGTAAATTTTTTATTTTCATCCGGAAAATATAGTTTAGGTAGGTTCTTACATAATAATTTTACTTTTTGTATTTGTGTTGTCTTTATTGTAACTAGTAGTCTTATGTTCTTTTTTTAATTTTTGTTGTAATGGTTTTTAAGTTTCTGCTAATTTTGGTATGTATTCTCTTACTTGAT